ATTGAAAAATTGGAACATAATGTTGAAACATTTAACAAAAAACACTGTTCCATGTTTGATGATTTCACTAGCAAATTACAAAGACTGGAACATAAAATTGAAATGCTAACAGAAAAGATTTGTTCCATGTCTGAGAGCAATGATAAACTAACTGATAGAATATCATTTGTGGAAGGCAGTTTACATGCTATTGAGGTACATTCTAAGGATGAGAATATTAAAAATTTGGAATCACGTGTAAATGATGAATGTAAAAAAATGAAAGATTCCATGATGTCCTTAGAAAATTATTTGTCCCAAGAACTTCAAGATCTCAGAGAAACAATGATGAATAGACTGCAGGATTTAGAAGACGCTCAATCTGATACTTCAGAATCAGAAATACAGGCAACAGGTCAGGACAGGAGTTTCCCAACACCTCTCAAATGCCGGAAAGATCTCCCTAAGGTTACTATGCGTTCCCCTATGGTTTTTCCAGTATCTGTAACAGAAAAACCAGCAACGAAAAAACAATCAAATGGTCCCATTGCTTATCACTGGGAACCTATACAGATGAAGGATCTAAAGAATATTAAGGAGGCCATTGTTTTGTATGGTCTTCATTCTCCCTTTGTCAGAGAGCTCATAACCTCATGGGCTACTGTAAATAAAGTAACCCCAAAAGACTGGGCCCAATTAGCCTCTGCAGTGCTTGAAAATTCTTGTCAAATTCAATGGAGAGCTTTATGGAGGCAAGAAGCAAAAGCTATAGAGATTCAGGAATTACAGAACGGTTATGAGGTACCCCAAGACGAGATTCTTGGGGAGGGTCCTTACGCTGACATGCAGGTTCAATCTGCATATGACGAGCACATGTTGTCTTTGTGCCATACAGCTGCTTTAAATGCCTTGGATAAGGATTGTGAAACAGGAGAGATAATGCAACCCTATACCAAGGTATTACAGGGCCCAAGGGAAAGGTTCACTGAATTTTTAGAGAGATTATCCAGAGTAGTAGAAGTACAGGGAGTGAATCCAGAATCCAGGTGTCTCCTTATAGAATCTTTGGTGTATGAGTACGCGAATCCTCAATGCAGGCAGGTAATTTGGTCATTAAAAATAAGATCAGCACCATTGGAGGAATGGGTCCTACATACAGCAAACGTGGAATGTAAAAGTCAGGATACAGGAGCTTGGGTAGGTGAAGCTATTTCTACAGGCTTTAGGAGGCACCAGGATGCCAAATACCCTACCTGTGATGATATAGAGGCCTGGGTAGGGAAGGCAATCTCCAAGAATTTTAATAGGCATAAAGAAACAACATGCTTTAACTGTGGTAGAATAGGACATCTTAGTAGGAACTGTAGACAATGCATTCCTAGAAATAATGCTTTTACAAGGAATGCATCAAACAGAAGGTCTCAGCCTCCTGGTCTCTGCAGGTGGTGTGGAAAGGGCCGCCATTGGACTGATGAATGCTGGTCCACAATAGACAGACAAGGTAGATCTTTAAAGCCAGGAAACGGGGTTCAGGGGCTCAATCGAGCCCCAGAAAGAAAGATTATCCGGTCATTCCCAGTGACAGTGGAGGACAGCCTCTCCCAGGACAATTAGAAGATCCACTGCCCATTATAAATAATACGGCACTGGATAATACATTAGCTCCAGAGGATGAATCACTTATATCAGGAGGAGATACAAAACATATATTTTGGCAAATTTCTATACAATATCATAGACCCAAGTTATCAGTTAAGGTAAATAATATGGTGATTAATGGCATTTTGGACACCGTAAGTGATGTCACTATCATTAATCTGAAGTCCTGGCCCCCCAATTGGGCTTTAAAAGAGGTTAATGTTCAATTCTTAGGGATTGGAACCCTATCTGAAGTTAAACACAGTGTCAGATGGATTGATTTTATTGGGCCAGAGGGACAGAGAGGAAGATTAAAGCCATATGTTGCAGATATTGCTATAAACCTCTGGGGTCGTGATCTACTCCAGCAATGGAATACACAGATTAACATTCCTCCTGTATCAGCTAGGAATTATAGACAAGCTCTTAGTGGTAGAAAGAATATAGTAAGGCAGTACAGAAAATAGATGCCAAATGTACAGGCTGTACAGAAGCAAGATGCTAGTGCCAAACCTACAGAGAAACCAAAAGCTCTACCCTTAAAATGGCTGACAGATGAACCTGTCTGGGTGGGTCAATGGCCTATGACATCTGAGAAGTTAGAGGCTTTGGAGAAGTTAGTTCAGGAACAGCTAGATGCTGGACATATTGAGGAAACAACTAGTGCATGCAATTTACCTGTTTTTGTTGTCAAGAAGAAGTCTGGTAAGTGGAGAACGGTTACTGATCTTAGAGCCATCAACAAGGTAATTCAGCCTATGGAGTCTCTACAACCTGGGATGCTGTTACCTTCTCTAATTCCTAAGGATTTGCCAATTATAGTTATAGACTTAAAAATTGTTTCTTCACCATAGCGTTACAAGAAAACGACAGAGAAAAGTTCGCCTTCATGGTACCTACCTATAATAATTCCCAGATCCTCTCAATATAGTCACGGATTCTCAGTATGCAGAAAGAGTTGTCTTGCACATTGAGACAGCAGAATTTGTTCCTGATAATACAGAATTAACCTCATTGTTTTTACAATTGCAGGAAATCATCAGAAATAGGACTCATCCTATATATATAACACACATCAGATTCCATACAGGTCTGCCAGGTCCTCTGGCACAAGGCAATGATGAAATTGATCGTTTATTAGTAGGTAATGTGTTGGAAGCTTCAGAATTTCATAAGAAACATCATGTTAACAGCAAAGGTTTAAAGAAGGATTTTTCTATCACCTGGCAACAAGCCAAAGAAATAGTAAGAAATTGTCCCAGTTGCTCATTCTACAATCAAACTCCATTACCAGCAGGTTGTAATCCTAAAGGTGTTCACAGAAATGAACTTTTGCAAATGGATGTATTTCACTTCCCAGAATTTGGCAGTTTGAAATATGTACACCATACCATAGACATGTTCTCAGGCTTCCAATGGGCTACTGCCCTCAGCTCTGGAAAAGCAGATTCTGTTATTACACACCTCTTAGAGGTGATGGCTGTTATGGGCATACCTAAAACAATAAAAACTGACAATGCTCCAGCATATGTCTCCAGTAAATTGGAACAATTTTTCAAATATTATAATATAAAACATGTAACTGGTATACCTTACAATCCCACAGGACAAGCAATAATTGAAAGATCTAACCGAACCTTAAAAGAGATGCTTCATAAACAGCCAGGGAAAAAAAGACACCTAAACACAGGTTACACAATGCTTTACTAACGTTGAATTTTCTTAATGCTGATGAAAAAGGACAAACTGCAGCAGAAAGACACTGGACTACAGAGAAGACTTCTGAACTGAAACAACCGGTGTATTTTAAGGATGTTATGACCTCAGTCTGGAAACCAGGATATGTGTTACGTTGGGGAAGGGGTTACGCTTTTGTTTCCACAGGAGAAGAAAAGGTTTGTGTTCCATTAAAATTAATTAAAATTCGATCAGAACAGAAAACATCTCAGGAGGAGGAAGATAACAGCCCATCTACAAATTCATATTCCACCATGGGTAAAGTGACCTCCTAAAAGGAAAGAGAAGTGTTTTGTTTTTTGCCTTCACAGGTAAACTCAGCAAAGAATACTGGACATATGGATTCCTGAAGAAAAATGAATAGCTACGCTGAGGACCATCAAACAAACAGTAACTCACTGTGTGGTATCAAAGTCTAAATCTCTCTATATTGTTTTTTCATAGTACCCTTTTATCTTTATTTCTTCACATACCTCAGTCTCCATTCATTTATCTGAAGCTGGCTTTGGAGTTGGATTGGCTCTCCTACTCTAAACTCAAGCATATTATTTAAATACAATTCAGAATTTCTGTATTATATCAAAGAGGCATTGATATAAGACAGAAGAAAATAAAATTAGGGACTGTTATCTGTGGATTTCTTTTTCTGTAAAGTCTAATTTCCTTCAGGTTTGCCATCTTCCCTATTGTCACCTCTTCCAGTATGCATACATATGAAAGTTAAGATATTTCTTTGTTAACATTAATGTTTGAGTTTTCCAGAGAACAAGGGACTTCCTGACAGCAATCTTCAATGGCTTCAGAAAGAGAATGAGGATCCACTTCCTTGACTTCACCTGATTCGACTGGAGGTATCTGAACTGCCCCACATCATTGACTCCACCTGACAAGCACTATCCTGAAATTGGCTTGAAACTACATCACTCTACACAACCCCGGACCAAGAAACTGAAATAGCACATCTTCTACAATCTGGCCAGAGCTTCAGATGAGAGCTTCAATCAACGCTAGAACCCCAGTCAGGAACTTCAATCAAGCATCTCCTGCCATACATAGACTGTCTGATCTACTGAGATTTTGTTATACTAACATTTTTCTTCTCACAGGTCCCCATGAGATTATCATCGTCCCATCTCAGCAGGAAGTAGTTTTGAGAATTCCACGCCCCTCTCCCTACTATTGATATTGTAAGATAGTTTACACCTGTTAGTGTTAGTTTTCAATTATTTTAGAGTTGGGATTGGAAGGATGTGTTCAGATTTGGGTGTTTCTTTCAGATAAGTTTAGGTTTAGATAGAATAGATGTTTGATACATTTTGTTCATGGACACAAGTTAGTTGTCCTTTTTTAGACTAAAAGGGGAATTGTAGGAGGAAGTCTGTATGCCGCCATTAAACATGTGACTTACTAGAGGTGCATACAGATGAGGTAATAAAAGGGCGGTTTACCACACCACTAACCACACCCACTTTAGGCATGACTAAAGACATATACGGCTGGACGTAAAGACGTATACGTACGTAGGCGGTGAACTACGTCACTAGCCAGGCCCACTTTTGGGCATGGCTAGGGGGCGTTACGGGGGAAGGCATAAAAGACAGCACACAGGAAGTCTCGGTCTCTTTCCCTGAGTTCGGCTTCTGGTTCGGCAGCGGGAAAACTACTTGGCTCATCTGGGTTACTTGTTTGGTATCTTGTGAGTAATTTCTACAATAAATACTTAGTTTTACTTTCAGTAAGTGTGTGCCGCTTATCGTTACAGTGTCATTTGGAGCTACACATGGGTAAATGTTGGAGAATATGGTGACTGGTGTTTGCTGAGGTAGTATCTGACAGGGTAACTTTAAGGGAATTTATGAAAACAGGACTCAGTTGGGACCTGTATGAATTCAAGGTGTAGGTATAGTAGTATAGTATAGTAGTTTCATCTTGGACTAAACCTTGCATGTCAAGGGAAAGTCTTTAAGAAACCAAATGTTCTAAGGAGTTGAAACATTCCACGCTGAGGGGGAACACATTAAACTCAGGAAATAAACAACCCAAAAGCTTCAAGAAGTCCCTGAAACTGACTATATTTGTCAGTCCCTTTCCTCTGCAAGTACCTATAAGCTGCAAAGACTGCTGAGTGATACCCTCATACAAACCATGTTGAATTAAATAAGCAGAGACAGGCAAAATGCTCTATAAGGAAAGACTGACTGATGCTCAGAAGAAATTCAAGCAAATTAAGCTATTAGGGAAGGGTACACTGCAACCTGCTGAGCTGCTTTCAAGTTGTGCAGTATCCTTCAGGTTTCCACCTTTTGTGAGGGGAATGCTAGGATGAGATATTGGTGGCACAGCTGTCTTTGACTCATTTATGGTCTTTTAAGTAATCCCTCATCCATACTCCTGTAAGTAACCCCAATAAAATTTATTGGTTCACCAAGTTAGACTTTGGTTGTATCTATACTTTAGTCTCTCATTAGTTCTCTATCTAGGATTATTAGGTGTTTGTTTCCATCTCCACAACAATAAAACCCCACAACAGTAGGTCAGGATGTTACTGCTGTAAGTAGAGGGAAAGAGATTTGGCTTGATATGCTCATCAAGAGCCAGAGACTTAGCATGAACTGGGAAAAAACAGACTATAGCAAGAATGGAAAATACAAGGTGAAGGTAGGATATGATCTCATCAATAAAGATGGTATAGGTAATTTTTCACTATCTACTGCAAATCTCTGATGGGGGCTGAGAGTATTAATCTGTGAGTATAATGATAAGTCATTTGGAGTCAGTTTAATCCTGTTCCCATTTAGCATAATAACAGTAGTAGGTTCTCCCCTAAGACCTATGGCCTATCTAGCCAAAGGTTCTTGACTTGACAATGGTGCCAGGAATTGGTTTCCTCATGTGAGGTAGAACTTGAAGCCAATCAGAAGTCACAGGATGTTTATGCCACCATTGCATATGGGCATATCTTTCCAGGTCAGATAGTATCATAGCTCCCAGAGTTCACAGCCTGGTAAGACTGATGATTACTCTTCTCCTTTGGTAACATGGATAGAACCTCCCAGCATTGTGAAAGCTAGCCAGGAGGAATGATATTTCCATATCAGTACCAGCCTGATATTTCTGTTTTGTGTGTCTTCAACAATAGGATCCTTATTATCAGCTCCAAAGGACATCCAATAGCATTGGCAATATCCTGTATTATTTGAGAATCTGTGGGACCACATTAGCCAACAACTCCTGAAAAGGTAATACATCCCTGGCATGGGGCTTTTTACTTGTTAGTCTGAGTCATTGTTGTCCTGTTTAGCGTAACTCCACTTAGATTCGTTCTATATATGTGTGTGTGTGTATTTATTTTAGGAAGCTTCTACATTAGTAAGTATATATATTTCAAATGATTTAATTAAGAAAGATCTCTCTCAGATGTACCCATCCATTTGGGTGTTAATTCCAGATATAATCAGGTTGACAACCAAGAATACCCATCAGATCTGGGAGAGATTAGAAGGGTGACTATCATCAAAAACACATTGTATTATATTCTCAAAGAACAAATAACATAAATTTCTACATGTATAGGGAAACAGAATAAGTAATGTAGACTTTGTGTACTCTGGAGACACCTATGCTGAGTAATGGTGCTGTATATTTACTTTAAATGGGGACATTAGACAGAGAGTCTAGGGAAAGAATAGCAATAGAAGGAAAATACAGGAGACTAATTCAATGGTCCAATTATCAACAGCATTGATTTGGTCTTAGGTGGTAAGCTGTAGAAGCACAATGGAGTAATTAAATGTAGTTTGAAGGTCAAGTCAAAAGGTTTTGTTGTTGGTGGGTATAACACCAACCTGAATCTGGGATGCTTCCCAGGCTCAGGACTTGAGGAGCAAAGGAAATAGGAATGTGTTTCAACTTCTATGTCGTTTTTTATCTTACTTTGATGTGTTATTGATATTCTAGACTACACAACCAGAAAAAGAGTTCGTCAAGTTCTTTAAAATCTAAGTATATACTTACTTGTAATCCTGAGCATTTAATATAGAGAATTAAGAACTTATATCTTAATTACAAAAATCTATCTGCAGATGTACAAACACCTTTATCTGTAATACCTTCAAACTGGAGATAGTCAAAAGGAGTCGAGGTTGATAAATCACAAACATACTTGCACATCAGAATCAATAATTGGCATAGGTACAATTAGAAGTTGGCAGAATTCTCACATTGGTTCCATGTTATGTAGAGTGAGGGCTATTATGGTTAGAAAGGCTAAATGGAAGCCTTTAATATTGCCTCTGCCAAAGAGAAGAGTGAACTGAATCAAAAACAGAGTCACATCCCTGGAGGAATTGCAGAAATTAGTGCCACAATCAAGGTCTTGAAAGATGCAGGAATGGTAATTCCCACATTTCCTTTTAATTCTCCTGTCTGACCAATATAGAAGACGGGTGGACCATGGAGAATGACAGTTGACTATTGAAAACTCAATCAAGTAGTGATTCCAATCGCAGCTGCTGTAACAGATGTGGCATCCTTACTTGAGCAGATTAACACACCTCCTGGTACATGGTATACAGCTATTGATCTAGAAAATGCCATTTTCTCAGTACCTGTCCATAAACACCACCAGAAGCTATTTGTTTTTATTTGCAAGGCTAGAAGCAATCTATTATGGTATATTAACTCTTCAGACCTGTGTCATAACTTAGTTTGAATAGATTTTGATTATCTATTTCTTCCACAAAATATCACATTGGTTCATTATACTGGCAACATTATGCTGATTGAACCAAGTAAGCAGGAGGTAGCAGCCACTTTGAACTCACTGGTAACACACACATCAGAGAATGGGTAATAAATCCATTCAAACTTCATGGGCCTTCTACCTCAGTGACCTACTTAGAAATCCAATATGTGGGGCCTCTAGAGACATTTCTTCCAAGGTGAAGAATAAGTTATTGCACCTAGTCCTTCCCACCACCATAAGAGAAGCATAACATTTAGAGGACCTATCTGGATTCTGGGCACTGTGCATTCCTCATCTGGATATGTTACTCTAGCCCATATGCCAAGTGACTCAGAAAGATTCTAGTTTTGAGTGGGGCCTGGGACAGAAGGGTCTTCAACAGATCCAAGCTTCTGTGCAGGCTGTTCTACTATTTGAACCACATGATCCTGTAGATCGAATAATTCTTGAGGTGCCAATGGTAGGAAAGGATACTGCTTAGAGCCTTTGGAGCAAGAGTCCACCATCAATTGCAAACAACTGTTCTCCCTTTGAGAGACAGCTCTTGGCCCACTATTAAGCCTTAGTAGAAATGGAATGTTTGACAGTGGGCCACAAAGCAACTATGAGATGAGATGCCTTTCATGGGCTGGGTTTTATCTGGCCTATCAATCCCTGAAGTAGCATGTGCACAGCAGAAGTCTGTTATCAAATGGAAGAGATACACACATGATCGGGTCAGAGCAGATACTGAAGGAACAAGCAAGTTCCATGAAGAAGTTGGCCAAATGCCTATGGTTTCTACTCCCATTACAATGCTGTCTGCAGCCAAGCATGCACTGATGGCCTCATGGGGTGTTCTCTGTGGTGGATTGACTGAGGAGGAGACTAGGGGCCATTTTACTGATGGTTCTGCACCCAGAAGCAGACAGTTGCCACATTACAACCCCTTTCTGAGACAACCCCAAAAGACCCTGGTGAATGGAAGTCTTCACAGAACTTCTCATAGTTCACATAGTCATTATTCAAAATAAAAAGGTTACCAAATTCTAGGTCTGCATAAGAATCAAGCAACATGTATTTCATAAGCATTAAAAGCAGCATAGTGCTGAATTCTACATTCAACAGAGTGTTTATTACATTATCACCCAAATATTTTTGATATGAGTATCAGTTTAATTCGTCAAGGGAATATGTGTATGTTGAATATGTTCCCCCTGAAGGCCCCTAGGATAGATAACACTTGCATTCTAATCCTCCCTCTTAATGAATCCCTAATCCACACTTAGAACCTGGTTATTCTTGTCTCTGTGGTTCTGTACATGATGATTAAAGTGAGGAACTAAACACTTGCTAACATTGCTGCTCTAATAGCTTCCCACACTAATTAATGCCTAGACTCAAGCTATTCACTGTTCTGGCCAACCAATAATCCTGAACTTTAAAATCTATCTCATGAATGCCCATATCTGAAACTCTACAATTTGGAACCTCAGGGGGAAAAAAGGCTTACACCAACATCAATGATAATGACTTCAAGGGTTATGACATATGTTAATAGTGATCTCATCTTCAGCACATTTCTCTTAAAGTTACTCTAGGTGTCTGAACTAGGCTTGAATAACCAGGTAGGTCAACTTGAAGGTGGAAATGCCTGACCTAAAAACTTTCCTTCGAGACATTTTGAAACAGCATCTAAGGTTCGTAAGGCTTTCATGTCTGAAACTCTGATGCCATTCAGTCAGAATGTGGGGGCAGAGCACATGGTCTTTAGGTCTTTGAAAGGGTGTTCTACTTTCAAGAACATCACCAAGTCACTTCAGTCAGGAACGCATACTGATTCTTCGACCCTTGTCACTGCTAAAAGCCTCCAGTTCTTCAATCCTTTCATTCTCTGTCACAAACTCAGTTGACTATAGTGTTTAGCAAAAGACTACATTAATGAACTTCTTTTCACTAGTCTTCATTATAAAAAAATACTTCAAACTGTATTCTGAAGTCCACTTTAATTCAGAAATTCGGTTATTGACTAAAATATTTTCTAACTTATGGTCTTACATCATATCCCATCTGCTTTTTTACAGATCTGACTGCCAACAAAACCTACAGAATGTGCCAGACACCTCCTGTCTAGATAGCAGAGCTAGTTCCGTCTCAAGAGCTGCCAGGTACAACACCATTCATGGAATCAAATCACACACTCCCCAGTCTGAGTTTTCTATCATCCTCCCCACGCTGTTTTTCATGTGCTAATGCATTCTAAAGAGTGGAATATGTTCCCTGCATTTTTATTTCCTAGGGCTGAAACAAGAGTAAACCAATTGCAAATGGTTTCAATTAAAACCTTTCTTAAGACAAAAATAGATCATTTCAATCAAGTCGAGAGTTTGAAGACAGGGGGAAATATTTCAAACACTAAAACCATTTTTAATAGAGAAAGAAAAAAAGGTACTTACAGCCAACCATCATCATGGCTACTGAGAACATCTTCTCCACATCTGTGGTGGGAGCTATGTTTCCAAATCCTATAGTTGTAAGGCTCGTCATGGTGAAGTAGAGGGAGGACACATACAGGGAATCCTTGCTGGGTCCTCCTTCCCAGATCCCTGCACTGGTATTGTAGCGATATGGAGTCCCAATGCTCAAGGCCAACTGGTAGAGCCAGCTGTCTATTTGAATGGTGTTGGTGACTTCATCAATGACTTCATAGTCTCCAATGCTGTACCAGATGCAGGCCAGCCAGTGGGCAACCAATCCAAACACACACACCAGGAGCACAAGGACTGCGGCTCCATACTCCAGGTAGTGGTCCAACTTCCTAGCAACACGGCCCAGGCGTAATAGGCGCACCACCTTTAAAGAACTGAAGAGGCTGCTGATTCCCTGCACAAATGAAAGAAAAATTATAGGAAACAATATAATAGGCTACTTGTATGAATTTGATTACCAAATTATGTAAAAAAAGCATTCATATAAGAAAACTCCAATCTTTAGTAAGCAAGAAAAAACCAAAATGTTAAATATTTTTCTTTAAAATGCAAATTCCATTCTACCCAGGAATAGAAAATTTTCTCAAAATTTACTAGCAGAAAGAAGTTCCCGTTGGCTTAAAACTATTCAATCTGAGAGAAGTACAGTTTTCAAATACGTTCTGCACAGGGTATAGATAAAGAGGTGGGAAATCCAAACTCCTTCCTTTTTTTCTTGCTATGAAAGCTTCCATTTATTTCTTACTCTCTAATAGCTAAAAACTGCACCTTCTGAATAGGGAAACTCAGTCTCACTAGCAAGAAAACAATAAACACTTGTGTGCATATGCAAACAAGAAGCAAAGATCATCATTATTTTCACTGTGATGTGTCCCAGTCCGGATGAACAGAGCTCAAACTAGGGTTGATACACAGGCTCCAAATTCCCTCTGTCCTCTAGCAATAGTCGTGGAGACAATATCCAAAGTAAGAGCAGAAAGGCATTCATATTTTGTTGAAAAATTTATCAAAATCAAGGGAAGTCCCATAGTCACTGTTTTGGAAGCACATGATAGGCTACCACCTGGGAACAGGATGGAGGGCTGAAGAGATGGAGGGATGGAGGGGCAAGAGAAATGCATCCCTGACATAGACTGCAAAACAAAGGAGAATTAAAGCAATTGCCTGGGATGCTCTCACCTGCAAATCAAATAAATTCGGTTTCCCAAATGGTAGAGCAAGGGTCCACCATCACCTGCTCTGGCCAATAGAGGAAATGATGAGGCAGGACAGACATGAACCTAACATGACTCTAATCACAGAATGGTGAAGAACTTGACATTTAAAGGGGAGAAAAAGTTCAGAATTCATCTGCTCTATTATACTTTTTTAACCAGGAAAATTTTGAAGAGAAAGGAAAACCAGAACACAAGAAGCAGAAGCAACAGATCCCGAAGACAAGAGAAGCAGCAGGTCATTCTGGCAGTTTCGTCTCCACCTGGCTTTCCTTAGGCTGGCCTCAATTTCGCTTGCCAGCTCTCATATGCTGTGACATATAAACAGCCTTGAAATAAGTCCCATTTCACTTGAACATTTGGAGTGAAAATTTTGGTAGTCAAAAGAAGTAGAATTAGGGCTGAGGACACAACTCGATCTGTAAAGCACTTGCTGCTCTAGCATGGGGGTCCTAAGCTATATCCTCAGAAACCACATAAAAGAGGTCAGGCATGGTGACAGATGCTTATAATACAGCACTGAGGAGGCAGAAACAGGAGGATCTGGTTTCCAGTGGGAGATTCTATCTCGAAAACTAAAATAAAATGAAAATACAGTGGACAATGTTCGAGGCAGAGCAATTCCTAGACACATGCACCAACAGTGTACACAAAAACACAAGAAGAGAGAGAGAGTGGGAGAGAGAGAGAGAGAGAGAGAGAGGAAAGAAAGAAAGGAAGGAAGACAGACAGTGAGATGGGAGGGAGGGAAGGAGGAGAAATTAAGAAAAATAAGCATAATACAGTGACATCATTGTTATAGAGTAAGGATATTCAAGACAGCTCAGAAATGTTCAACTATGGAGATGTATAATTGTAAATAAGAAAGAAAGCACAAGGGCTTATGGAGCACATCTGTGTGCTAGGCTCTGGTTTGAGTGCTAGGGACATTAAGATAAATACTCCTCTACTTCAAAGAAACTAAAAATTGAAATACATGAAAACACAGAGCTCAAATTTTTTTTACTTAAATGCTGCTGTTGATGCTGTCTTTTAGGTAGCTTGAATCTTTGAAGACATGGCGGGTCTTCTCTCTAAATGCTGCCCAGAAAATAAATCCTTTTGTGGTGATATCTTGCTTGTACAAATAACGCCTGTCTGAAGATCAGAGGGTACAGGTTGCCACTAGCTAATCATAAAGGTCTGGAGGTCTGTGCAGACAGGCAGACAGACAGACAGACAGGAAGTGAGATGGCTGGATATAAGGAGAAAGAAATAGGAACTCACTCTATTTTCTCCTGGGAAGCTAATAAGGTGAAGGTGGCTTTGGTTTGCTCCTTCTTCTCTCTCATCTCTCAGCATTTTCCTCTATATCTGACTCTAGGTGTCTATCATTTAGACCAATTAAGAGCTCCAGTTACTCCATTGCTCATCCCTCCTCCCTCTCTGTGACTGGATTCCAGGAGTATGGCTCAGTGTTTATCTGTGGGTGCCTGTTTCTGCTTTAATCAGCTACTGGATGAAGACTCTAGGAATGGCAACCAAGTTAGTCATCAATCTCAATATAGGGGAAGGGCATCAAGGGCAGCTTCTCCACCACTGCCTAGATTCTTAGTTGGGGTCATCGATGTGGATCCCCTAATATTTCCCCTGTGCCAGACAAGACCATGCTGGAGAAACCTGAAGAAGCTCATGACCTGACATAGTGAGAGCACAGAGACCATAGTGTAAAGCTGGGGAACCAGCATTGGACCGAACCAAGCCCTCTGAATATGGTTGTTAGACAGGAGGCCAGGGCAATCTATGGGACCTCCAACAGTGGAGTCAGTGTTTATCCCTAGAGCACAGATAGACTTTGGGATCCCATTCCCTATGGAGGGATACAAATTCAGCTCAGATACAGGAAGGAGGGCCTGAGACCTCCACCAAACAATGTGATGGACTTTGATGGTCCCCCATGGAGGGCCTCACTATCCCTGGGGAGTGTGTGGGGATGGGTTGGGGATCAGTGGGGAGCATGGGAAGATGGGAGGGCGAGGGTTTGATATGTAAATCAGAGTACTTATAAATTAATAAATAAATAAAGGAAAAAATGTGGGGGGGAAAGAACTCCATTTACATCATTTCTACTTGAATTCTTCTCCATTAAAAACAAAAGGAAAACAAGAGGATATATTTTTACCCCACTTGAACTAATACACAAGTCAGAATCCACTAGAATTGGAGTCTCAAAGAACGAGAGAATTTATCCAAAAGGAATCTTGCCAGCCAAACCACAACTCCTATTGGCGCCACGTACTCAAAAGCCTGTTTTCCACCGCTTGACCCAGCTTTACTTCACAAATATAGTCTTGGCCATAGGTTCTATGATGACCATTTTTTTCTTTTTAACTTCCTTTTAGCCAACTCCCCAACTGGCATACCTTGCAAAACTCATCTTCCATGACTACCATTCTTCACTTCCTTTCATGGGCTGGGGTTGCCATCAAAAGCATATCTAGTCCCTTTAAAGTGTCATTGATCTTATGCATAGGGATAGATGACCCCCCAAGACCTCTTCTCCAAACACTCAACAGAAATCACTCTTGAGTTTCTTATACGAGAGACAAATGCCTTCTGTACATTTCCATGTGGACGCTTCATGAGTTTCAAAGGTCTGAAAGGGGCAAAGACACTTCATTCTCACAACTCAGCCCTTTACCCATTATCCTGCCATAACTATCACTGTCAGCAACCTGGTCTCTGAGTCTGAACTCTTCCCTCTTTCTTACAAGTTCCAGGCTGCTCTTTGCTCAAAGTGCCCAGGACAGCAACATTTACCCAGTCAACAAATCTACCAAAATGTTCCTTTTTTATTTCTACAGCCATGTTTTGGTCATGGTTTCATGTTTTGTTTTGTGTTGCTCATTGTTGATGCTGTTGTGCTTGTGTGACTAGTCCCAAATCACACTGTACAAGCAACCAAGCAACCAGCATAGCAACTTTAAAATGTACATCAGTCAATCATGTCCCCTTCTGACCTAAAACCATTTTCTACTAGCTTATTACTCATGGAATTAAAATTACATGCCTACTATAACATGTGGTCCCTTGATAATCTGGTCCTCATCCATCTCAGCCACATTTCTAGATGATTGCCAGCAGTTGCAGGATTTACTAGGTACAGAAAACAGAATCACAGGCTGTTCCACACCCTGTTGCAACTGGTTCCTTCCCTTTATATTTTTTTATTTTAGAAGCACTCTTATTTACATATCAATCTCCCCATTCCCTCACCCACCCATCCTCCCATGCTCCCCAACCCACCCCTCATCCACTCCCCAGGGATAGTGAGGACCTCCATGGGGGACCATCAAAGTTCATCACATCGTTTGGGGGAGGGCTCAGTCCCTCCTTCCCATATTTGAGCTGCAATTGTATCCCTCCATAGGGAATGGGCTCCCAAAGTCTATCTGTGCTCTAGGGATAAACACTGACTCCACTGTTGGAGTTCCCATAGATTGCCCTGGCCTCCTGACTGGCATCCATATTCAGAGGGCTTGGTTCAGTCCAATGCTGGTTCCCCAGCTTTATAACTAGGGTCTCTGTGCTCTCACTAGGTCAGGTCAACTATTTCTGCATGTTTCTCAAGCACCATCTTGTCTCCTTTGCTCATCCCTCCTCCCTCTCTGCAACTGGATTCCAGCAGTATGGCTCAGTGTTTAGCTGTGGGTGCCTGTTTCTGCTTCAATCAGTTTCTGAATGAAGGCACTAGGAATGACAACCAAGGTAGTCATCAATCTCATTATAGGGGAAGGGCATCAAAGGCAGCCTCTCCACCACTGCCTAGATTCTTAGTAGGGTACTTCTTTGCTCTATGTCTAATATCCATGTATAAGTGAGTGCATACCCTACTTGTCTTTCTGTAACTGGGTTACCTCACTCAGGATGTTTTCTTCCATTTCCACCTATTTGTCTGTGAATTTCAAAATTTCAGTGTTTTTCTCTGCTGAGTAATACTCCATTGTGTAAATGTACCACATTTTCTCCATCCATTCTTCGGTTGAGGGGCATCTAGGTTGCTTCCAGGTTCTGGATATTACAAACAATGCAGCTATGAACACGGTTGAACATATGTCCTTCTTGTATGAATGTGCATTCTGTGGGTACATGCCCAAGAGAGGAATTGCTGGATCTTGAGGTAGACAGATTCCTATTTTCCTGAGAAACTGCCAACTGATTTCCAATGTGGTCATACAAGTTTTCACTCCCACCAGCAATGGAGGAGTGTTCCTCTTTCTCTACATCCTCTCCTGCATAGACTGTCACTGGTGTTTTTGACTTTAGCCATTCTGGCCGGTGTAAGATAATATGTCAGAGTTATTTTGAGTTGCATTTCCCTGATGGCTGAGGATGCTGAGTGCTTTCTTAAGTGTCTTTCAGTCATTTTAGATTCCTCTATTGAAATTCTCTATTTAGTTCTGCACCCCACTTTTTAGTTGGATTGTTTGGTGTTTTGGTGGCTAACTTCGTGAGTTCATTGTGTATTTTGGAAATCAGCCCTCTGTCAGATGTGGAGCTAATGAGATATTTTCCCATTCTGTGGCCTGCCGTTTTGTCTTGCTGGTTTTCCTCCCATTTCCTTCATGGCTAGGATCTTATGTCATGGAAATATTCTCCCCTCCACTATCTTCATTGTCATTCTCTCACTTTCTCCTCCCACTGAGAACTGTGTGTTTAGCTTTGGGTTATCATACACTCTTTGCACATCTCTAGTAAAACAATTATCACAATTACACTTTATTACAAATCTGTTTCCATGCATGGCATGCCCGGAAACTATAAACTCCTTAAAGAGTATATCTATTGTCAATTACCAACCTGACATTGAATCTACATTAAGCAGTCAATACAGTCAATAAATGAAGGAGTAACTTTTAGAATAAGCAAGTGTGCAGATGGATCTAGAGTCCTTTGGCTACAGCTAACAAACTGTCTTGACAGCATAATACGGACAAGAGAAGGTGTAGCTGCATTGCAAAGAATAGAATTCATCAATGAATATGAAAGAGAAATTCTATCTCTGCATTGACCAGACCACACATTCAGGGCACACAGTAGATGTATTCACAAGAGGATTACAGAAAAATAACTAAAATTCATAGACTTTGAGAAATGGGGAAGAAACTGAAGAAACAGAGAATGGGCAGGACACAGCTAGATTCCAAAACTGTGTGAGGGTGAGTGCATTCTGTGCAAGCCTGACATGAGCAACCTAGCTCATGGTGGAAATGACATGAATGAAGGGCTGTACTGAAGACATCAACGGTCATGTGCCGTATACACATGCAGCCAGCCAAGCAAAAGCCTGGATCATTTACTGCTGCTTCAAAAAATAGACTGGATGACTAAAATACAACATATTTGGTGTTGTTCTCAGTTTTTTCCATATGTGAGCTCATTTATTCCCCAAAACAATCCTGTGTGATAAGCATCATGAAAACATGGTGCAGAAAAGTTTAGTTGTTTCATAAAGTTCTCATATCTAGTAAAGAAAGGCTCTGAGAACAAACATAAGCAATCTGGATACAGACTGCTTGCGTATTCTGAAGTTCACTATGCCAAGATCACATGCACTAAACAGAAAGCAGGCTCAAATGGGGAGCACTCTTTATACACCTTGACTAAAAGATGACATACGTAAGCCCTTTTGGCAGGACTCAATCACAGCAAAGGTCCACAGAGCATGGTCTCTGGATCTACCTAGTCATGGGACACATAGAAAATTATTTCACTTCACAGTAGTGGGATTCTGACCTTCATCACTCACAGGATGACAGAGAGGCCACAGCAAACAAGTAGTGCAAGCATTACCCAGGCCCAGCCCTCCAGGTTCTTAACACATTCTTCACAACAACCTTTTGCTTTGCAGTCTTCCTGTCCATGCCCCATCACATCCTACACAGTCCCAAAAATGGGAATCTTGGTAAACAAGCACTTAACACTTCCTCTGAGGCCTCATCAGGCACGTAGGATCAAACATACTCTTTCTCCTGGGCTTCAATACCCACATGTCCGTCTACTCCATGTTATCTCCCAATATTTCTGTGTGCAGCAATAGTGCACTAGGCTTTTCTGCTACCAAAGGCAAT